TCGCTAACTGAGTTTTCATATAGGTACTCGAAGGAGTAACTTTTATGAATGCGTGTTCCGAACTCGAATAAGAGGGGGTACTGTTAGGCACTTACAAAATAATACACCAACTGTGCGGCGCCTCTTTTTATAATAAGTAGAGAGGCAAAAACAGCAGTTGAAACAGGAAGCGGTCATTCTGTACGTATTGTGATGTGTTACTCTACAAATTAGGAGTTTTAGTTCAAAATACGACTGCAAGTAATAAAAGTGACGAGCTGTTATTATTCTTCTCTAGATAGTTTTCTTTTCTTTTTTTTTCACCTTACAATTTGTGAATTATTAGGTTATATAGACTAACTCATCATAACCTGTACTTAGAGGCTTTGCCACCCATATGAAATAGATTTATTAATGAAATATAATATATCATCGTACTACATACGCATCTCTCTGTATGTATGTTGGCGATGATTTTAAAACTACTGAACGGATATCATATGGTGCCTCCTATCAGTTTGATAATTAAAATTTCCACGGCAAGTTTATAACTTACCTATGACTCAATAAAAACTAAAGTCTACGCTGAAACAAATCGTGGGTCGGTTACTAGTTGTACATAATAATACTTAGTATTTTATACATTGGCTCAAGGAATGATATTAAAATTGGTATGTATTGTATTACATATTTAATTTCATATCAGCATTTGATGTACTACCAATACCGCAAGGGATTTAGTGGGTAGGCGCATGACGAAACATAAATTTATTTGAAGACATCTCATGACCCTTGACCCCCATCTCATAGCCTGTGAAGTTATTAACGGAAAATAACATTTTCCCGATCTGTTTGAGCAAAAGACGTACGAAAGTCAAGAAATGGACGTGCTCACATCCAGGTACGATGTATTACGAATTCAATTTGTTTTACGTTGGTTTTAAAAGGTGTTTCTTTTGTTTTTTATGTTCTTTTTCATGGAAATATTGTCAAAAAATTTCAAACCGACTGAAACTACGCTTGTTAACAAGGTTATGAATAAAGTTAAACTTGTTAACACCGAAATGGTTTGGCTAACAAGCTGTGTGAAAAACTATTTCGAATACAAAAAAATTGCTTACGATTCGTTATTTGAACTTTTTCATAGTTTTTTAATCAATTTTATCTCCTACCGTTAACTAAAACTTGTTGTGTGTGTCACACTCAACGAAAATGTGAAATGAACAGTCTCCAGCGAAGTTTACGGATTGATATGATTAAAGTATGTATTCTTTCATCCACGGCGGCGGTCACTTGTCTCCGTGTGCTGCTGTTTGTGTTTCCGGGTTCATTAAATCACTATAAGGCTAGAGTGAATAAACATCTGTTAAACAAGCGAGCTCCATTTTCGGCCTCATCAGCAATTTGAGTTATTTCTCAGGCCAATTAAAAAAATAGTTTTAGACCCAGTTTTTATTTAGTAGGTACTGTTTATGATATCTTTTCCAGACAGAGGACTAAAGAGCATAGTTGGATAAACGGAAGACCACAGGCCTATTACGACCATCAGTTAAAGACCCAAGCCGATGACACAGTTTTGTGAACTTGGATCCAGGTCTGTGGCACCCAAATGTTTCTTGAGTAAAGTTATTATTGTACTCAACTCAAGTCTTCATCGGTTTTTCCCGGAACACCACAAAGAAGCAGATGTTTGCTTGTAAAATGCTATTCCGCATGCTCTATTGGATGGCTCGTAATTTTGAACTTTCGAACAATGTATATTACCTCTGTAAATGTATTTTTTGACCAAGTTGTTGAAAATGTTATTTATCATTGAAAACATAAACAAATTTATATTTGAACTTTTTTGTAAATGAAATTAAACTATTGAAATGATTTACAATAAGTATACATACTCGAATTTATTTTTGAAATCTGCTTCAAATCTATTGGAATTACTATACAGACTGTATTTGTGCTTTTAATACAAAAAGTGTCAGCTGAAATCCTTTTAGGATCAGCTTCGTCTTTCTCGTGTCACATTCATACAAAAACTATGAAAATATTTCTTTACACATGGATTAAATACGGTTGTTTTTAGAAAAACCGTTTAAAAGATTTGCTGAACGATGTAGCTGTGTAAAATCTGAGATTTAGATATGTATACAAATATTATACAGAGAAATGATTTGTGTGTTTGTAATTAATAAACTTAAAAACTCTGAGGAGCTCAATGGCGCGGGTGGTTAGCGCGTTCGGCTGCGATCGTTGAAGTTAAGCAACTTTCGCAGTGGTCGGTCATTGGATGGTTGATCAAAAATCTTTTATGTCGAGTTCCTCCGTGCTTCGGAAGGCACGTTAAGCCGTTGGTCCTGGCTGCATCTGCAGTCGTTAGACCCGCCACTGGGCCCTCGTCGTGGGTCATGGCCCAATCTATAGGGAAGACCTGTGCCACAGCCGTTGGGACATTAATAGGCTGATGATGATAAAGATGATGAAACTCAAAAAGTACTGGACCAATTCCTGAGTGGCATAGGCTATATTTTATCGCGTTAAAACGATTTATCCGCTAAAAGCAAGGGTGAGCCAGTCGCTAGTAGTCTACAAGTGTGCAAATATTGTCAAAGTTTCATTATGTAACAGCTAACAAGTAGGTATTGGTAACTTACGTAGGGCCCGAGAGGGTTGAATTGAAAGCATCCATATAGAGGCGAACAAGTGGTATTGCGGGACCAAGTTTGAATTGGGGAAAGAAAAAAATGTTTTACAAGGGTGTAAATACCTGAAATAGTTCACGTTAGAGTTCGTATAAAAAGTGTTAGTTAGAGTGTTTTTGTGAGTTCACTAAATCGATCACGTTTGCGGCAACGTAAATAAGTACTTTACATAGACTTTTGTAGAGTGCCATTTTATAGAAAGAATATAGTAACTGACTTTAACATCATTAGCTTTCTCCCAATCACATTGTGTCGTATCATATAAAATATTTTGGGGACCTTATTTCTTCACTTTACGCGGCATCAATTATGAAGTTTAAAAAACAAACGAATTATCATTAGGTATTTTTTTTCGGTCTTAAAATCATGTCACTGTGTAACGTGATCAATAACTCGCCTAACAGACCCCCCCACACTAACGTCTTTCGAGCGTCGTTATCGTGCCAGCGTACGCGCAACGTCGCGTCGACGCGCTCACGCTGCTACACCGATTTTCTTAAATTTTTCTTCAATATTTAGGAAATAGGGTTCCGTACCCAAAGGGTAAAAATGGAACCCTATTGATGTCACTCTGTCGTCTGTCTGTCCGTAAGTCACAGGTCTCTAGATCGCAAACTGAAGGAGTTAAATTGAAATTTTGCTATTTTATGTAGAATGCTTTGCTTTTTTTATAGACAGGATAAATGACTTCAGTCCATCTGATGTTAAGTGATGGTGAAGTCCAGACGTGAAGATAGCTGGTACAGCAGTTCTACCTGCCACACCAGCCATCCGCACTTTGCCGGCCTGCATGTTGCTTTTTCATGCCTCTTTTAAAGGATCCCAGGTTGTAAGAAGGAGGGAACACGTGAGCAGGCAGAGCATTCCATTTACGGATAATGCGACAAAGAAATGAGTCACCAAATTTCTTTGTACGCGTTGGAATTGTGGCAACAGTTAAACGTTGACACCGTGCGTGGTACTCTGAAGGAAAGGGGAAGGTGGAATAAGAGAGAATAAGTCTTCGTGGTACAGACGAAAGATCGCGCTTAGTGACGCTAAGTCACGGCGTAATTGAAGAGGCTCGAGGTGTTTAGTCACCTCCTCATCGCCTATGATGCGGACCGCATGCCGCTGTAATCTATCCAAAGCATCGAGCAAGTACTTTGCGGAGCCATCCCAGAGGTGTGAGCAATATTCCACGCAAGACCACACCTACGTCTTATACAAAAAGCACAGTTGCTCGGGCGTGAAAAAGCGCCGCACCTTGTTCAGGACTCCGAGTTTGCGTGAGGCTGTTTTTACCTCGCTTTCGATGTAATTCTAAGCAGCGAATTTCCATACCGAGCATGGTGATACTGTCTCTAGCTCCAGTGTTGCGCTCTGAAGAGAAGGACATGGACATGGGGCTTTGCCTGTGGTGCTTTGGCAGATATCAGGCAGTGATCTGACGAGCCCAGGGCGGCTCTTACCACAACCTAATAGCTCTGTGGATGGGTCGTGAGCAGAAAGTCCAGGTTCAAGTCATGCGTGAGAGCGAATGTGTGAGCAGAGATCCCTGCATGGTCGGTTTTGGAGGAACTTAACCCCAAATTGTGGTGAGCATTAAAGTCCCCCAAAAACACCAATTCTGCATTGGGAAATTGTTCCTGCACGTCATCTGCTGCCCGACTAAGGTGCTCAAAAAGTCGAGTGCTTGCCCAAAGTCGAATATTTAGTTAAAAATATTTTTTTTTCTTGGGGGTTTCGATACATGCTTACTACTAGAGCTCGTTAAGAAGGATATGAATATAGTTATTTTTTTTCAAAAACAGAAACAAATACAGAGTCTTCAACGTTGTTAATTTTAGACCACTTTCGTTGTGCAGAAATGTGAAATTTTGGTAAATCTTATATGCTATATTTAAACAACAATTACTGAAAACGCCGATTTATTATGTGCTTTTATTCATTAAGTTATGATGAAAACAAACAAATGATATTTCCTTTCCTGGTTTATTGTACGGAATCCTTCGTGCGCGGGTCTCACTCGCACTTGACCGGTTTTTTTCATTAGTGTTTGAAATAGAATGTGTTGCAGATGAAGAAAATTAATGTTTTTTTTTTGTAAAAAGGGTCATAATTCAGTTTTAGGGCTTACCGGATAGAAAGCGCCTATCACATTCAAAAGACACAAGCGTTGCCAATTATAGTAGAGTACTAGCTCTCTACCCTGACTTCTTTCCCACCCTTGGTCACTAATAATGACAGTAACAGTACTGCAGTTAGATGACCAATTTCTTAACGTTTACTTTTCTCAAGTTTCATTTGTTTCTTGTATTAACCGTCCCATCTTTTTTTCCACAGAGGCGGCTTGTTGCGACGAGGAGTACAGACTGGTGCGTCACCTGATGCAGAAATATGATGCTTCTGTGCGTCCTGTCGAGAATTCCTCGCACCCGCTGCTAGTCACCTTCGGCGTGTCCCTGCACCACATCATCGACGTGGTAAGGAGAGATGTAGGTTGCAGCGATAAGAAGAACAGACTGGTACGTCACATGATGCAGAAAAACGGCGCTTTATTGCGTCCCGTGGAGAATTTCTCGCACCCCCTGCTTGTCACCTTCGGCGTGTCCCTGCACCACATCATCGACGTGGTTAGTGACTCACGTTATATTGATACAGGAAGGAAAACCTTTCTACGACATTTTGCGCACGGAATTGAGCGTGAAATGCATAATTAAAGTTTATATGGTGGAGGATTCAGAAAGTGACAATATTTTTATATAAGACTGAATCGCTGATAATACATTATAAAAAAAGTAAATAATAACAATTTTACGCAAACGATACTGTAGAAGTTTACTCATTGACAGAAGAATCTAAATAACGTTCCAATTTATACTGGTCGTATTTCGGCCAATAGGCAACCAATTGTTTACTTTAAATAATATGGTCATAATTTAGTCTATTAATTCCTTTTTACACATAATTATTAAGTATTTAATAATTCATTTAAATAGGTTAATACATGTTTTATATTTTATTATAACATGTTGCAGAGACTTTTTCGGTTTCGTGGTCGTAAACATAAAAATGGACACTTAAAACATTTCGATTTAAAAAAATCAAAAGAATTTTCAGAACAGCACAAAAATGATTACTGTTTTCAATAAGAAGAGCGAGAGATCCCGCCTCAATTATGTATTCAGTTCACTGGAATGTGCCAAAAGATATAATTTATTATATATCTGGAACATACCCCATAAGAATGTGTTTAGGTACTTATATTTTAGGAACGGGAAATTTGAAGAATGGAAATTGTATGGAAATTCATAATTTTGATTGACATACAATCGTGAGGTGATTTAATTTTGTTAAACAGAAGAAATACATATATTTTGATTGTCGCTTTCATTAGATTTTTAATTTGTAGGCGTTTACGAAACAAATATAATTGTATGCTATGATTGCATGTAAGTAGTGTTGCGAAGATAGAAACATTTTCTGTTTTTATAACATTTATTTTATTCATCTTTACATCTTATTCAAAATATTTTATTAACTATACTAAACTATTTCTCAATCTACAATTGTTTTTATTCAAATTATGGATGAGGTGGAAGACATCACAATAGTGAATACACTTACACTTTGAGAGAGGTAGCGCAAAGCGGATATTCTACAGCAATTGGATCGCCCTCATGAGCATGAGCCCTAAAGAGTAAAAATACGGGATGAAAGTTTGTATGGAACATCAACATTTATGAAGATAGATATTTAACATATTTGTTTCTTAGGTTTTCACTCACACCACTCAATAAATAAGTGTGCGTCCTCAAAATTACGCCATAAATTAATAAATCAGTGCATCTGTACTGTTGAAACTTGTTTTATTTATAGATATGAAAGATTATTCTAAGGGGTTTAAATATGGTGTGTAATATGGTGGATTCACACATGCCCGATGGCAATGAAATGTAACATCGTTATTTAATTACTACATAAACTCACTTTGAATGTAACCTCATTTATTTGTTACCAGAGTTACCTTACCGAAGTTACCTCATTGATTAGTTCCGTTGTATTTCAGATGAAGAGGGCTCTTATTATTTCTTTGTAATGAGTGTTGCGTACGTTTATTGAAGTTGACTTAGACGATGTCCCAGGTGGAACTTGGACAACACAGGGAAACTTTTATTTCCTCCCTCGGCGTTACATCAGTTAACACCATAATCGTTCTATGTTAGTATGTACGATTAAGGAGAAACGCAAATTTCCGCCACGAACACCTTATTTAATTCCGAAGCAGGGTGGCTGCCTGCTTGCCTGTTCAGGATCGAATCACATTTCTACTCAAAACGTAATAAAGCTACTATTGCGACATATTATGTAAATTTCGTCTTCACGTTCAGCCGCCATTTGGTATAACATCTTAGAATCTTGGTTACAAGTTTGCCGTTTTGACTCTTGGATTCAATATTTAATATTGGATCCAAAATTATTAGTTTTAGAACAAAACTTTTCAGAAGTGTCTCATGACCAAATGTTTGATTTGATTGAAAGATATTTTTAGTCCTTATACCTTTGGTTGAACAACAGAATAAGTATTTAATTTATGATTAAAAAAATATTACTCATCATCGTAAACATTATCCATCCATTAGATAGTTTCCTCAAATCCTATTATTTTCTTCATACTGGTGTACATCATATTTCCGATAATTTATAACGAAAAACACTGTCCTTGTATTTTCAGATAAAAACCTAGGACTGACATGTAAAAAATTTAGTGTCACGTCATGCTTGGATCAATTTATCAATAAATATAAAAAGTCTGATTTATATATAAACTTGGAACTTAGTTTCGTTACTGCTTAGTCACGCGTAATATCGGATCAACGGCGAACGGATTATCTGAAAAAGCTAACTTTAAAGAATTACGGAAAGTAAATGTTGTTTAGTTATTACTCTACCGTGCATGATCTGTTCTATTAGATGAAATTACGACTTTTACAAGAAGCAAATCTTATATTGACGAGAACAATGATTTTCCCCTTAAACTCTCGCTAAGATTTGTTTGGGATTAAACTTTTAATGCTGCACTCAATGGGTACGATGTGAAAATTCGTTGCGGAAATTTACCAGTTTGTTTTTAGTTAATAATAATGAAATCTCTTGAAACGCATAACAACAATTACCCGTTTCCAGTTTCCGCTGTTCAGAATTAAAGTTTGGCGAAGCTCCAGAATCGTAGAATTGTTTCTATGTGGATGTGATTATTCCGTTAATCTTTCGTTGCGTTCACAGCGGGACAGAATAACGCAGTGGTTCACGCTTGGGCCGAAGAGAATAGTTCTCGCATCGCAGCCCGTTTTAATTCCGCGCTCCCCTGCTATGAAAGTTGTTCGAATATTGCTTAGGCCGCGAAGGAATTCTGCATCTATTATTGAGAAGCCTATGTTATACCGAGAGCGATTATTCTCCCCTCACTGGTTGCGGAAATTGATGTTCAGAATCGGTGCCTTGTAAAAATAAACGAGTCACGTCACTGTTTCGCGTTTGAATAAATGAAATATTCTTACCCAGCTAAAGAAAATGATGTGCAAAATTAACATTTCAACTGATTTCATTGCAAAATTCCAATATTACGAATTGATGGATGTAGGTACAAAATGTGATTCAGAATCTGTTGACAAACATACATTTGTAATATTGTGAACACTTGTAAACACTCTCTAGAAGATTCTAAGAATCTTACAGAGAACTTATTTTTTAATATAAACATCTAAGTTTTAATGTTCTAAAATAATTGATATTATCTTTATTTGAATAAATATATAGTAAGGTGATAAGCTGTGAATCAGTTGAAAGTCTTAAAACAAGATCACTAAAGATCTCACTCTCGTTTACAAAAACATTTGTACAGCATTTGTTGAGGCCATCTTTTAAATATAAAAATATCTGTGCCAGAAGGCCCCACTCTTCCATACTCATAATTTCACTATTTTTTTTTATAAAAAAAACATCAAAAACAACAAAGTATAAAAAAATTAAACATGACTGATGAATTTTGCAAAACCTCGATTTAACCTTAACCACATTTAAACTGCATAATGGTAAGAATCTCCAACAAATAAATATCATCGCAGTGTCTTTATTTCAGGATTTTTATGTGTACACATATATTGCGCCGTACTTAATCAGGCGAGATAGTGTTCATTATGAATCGTGCCCGATGCCTATTCAGAGCCTACTGGGCACAAAAGGTGTGAATATGCAACAATGCATGCATTCATTCTACGACCGATTAAGCTCCCGCCTTTCAAATATTTTTGTCGACAAAGTTCTTTCTTTAATTTATTAGTGAAAAGACCGGAAGCCAGACAATGGAGACCCTGCCGATATCCAAGTTTTCCATTTTTGAAATCTGTGTGTCTTTGCGATGATTATTTCTTTTCTCTCGCTGTATGTATAATTTGAGTAACTTTAGATTGATTTCAGATTCTGATTTGATTGATAAATATTGTTTTACGGATACCGATAGATTTATAGATTCAGAAGCAAGAATTTCGCATTTATGGTGAATATTATGCATATTTAAAATTAAGAACGACATAGGTACTTATTGCGTTCGAGAATAGGGTATACTTAAATCAACACTGAAAACAGTATGAATCTGATTAAAATTGAACCTGACGTCTGTTTGCATTCAACTGATACTGATGCGGACTGACACAGTAATAGTAGTCCGCATCGCACAGAACGGTAGGTGTGGAGGGATTGACCATTTTCATTGTTAAAGTAATGACTTATTTTAAAATTAGTATGAAAACCTTCTAATTACTGCGAAAGTAACTGTTCTAGTTGACCCTTTTACATTATCTTATTATATGAAACAAACCCTATAAAATAATCAGATTTTATGTTTAGTACCAATTCAGGGAAAAGTTTGCCTCAGGGAAAAAGTAAAGTCGCAAATAATAACATCCCTGATAGTCCATGTCATTATATTAAGTTTAATACCTGAAATGGCCGACCCATCACTACGAACATTGTTATGGTAATGTTACCCACAAATAGGCGGACTTCCCAGATATTGTATAGAATAGGTACTTATGAAAATATATTGCAAATGAAAAATAAAAGTTTATGAAAAGTACTCTAACACAATCTGGGCTATTAAGGGAAACAATGATACTTATTTTATTATCGTGTACAAAAGACCGTGCAAAACTACAGAAGTAAGCATTGTGCATTGCATGTTTGTAACGTGTGCGTGCTATTATTTGGTCTCGAAACGGTGGTAGCGAATTGACGATTTAAAAGTACTTAGCAATTGAATTCCCTTGGAATGACGATATTTTTGAGTTCGAGTTTATATCTTCAATCGCTGATACTAGAGGAAATTAACATCAAACCTAATTTATCATTGATCAAACCCAATTAGTTGTTGTTTATAAATAATAAACTTTAAGCGTTGTTATTTTAGAGCTATCGATTCCAAACACTGTTACTGTTTAGGAAAATACTTAAAATAATATAAGATCCTTTAAAGTTATATCAGTTGTATACTCTCTTAATAAAAAAATGCCTACATATATTAAATGAATATAACAATATTCGTAAAAGTAAGCTCTTTCTTTAAAAATGGCCTCTACTCATCGCATTGTCAAAAAGGAAGGGAACAGTAGCATTTTTATCAAGAGTATAAATTTAGGATATATGCCATCTTGCGGGCCGGGTATTTTGTCTTGCCACTATATCTGCTTACATCTTACATAAAAGATGACAGTAAGAAAAGCCGGCATGGGCCTATTATGTTACAATTTCTATTTTCAATTTATTATTAGATATTGTTTTCGATTTCATTACGTTATTTCTTTTTTAAACCAGTTTATGTAATAAATACGTAGTCTCCTCTTATATAAGGCAATTTCGTTTTTAAATAACTGGCGTCTTGAATAATTTTAAATGTGTTTTTAATTACTATTCAAATGGTTTTATTTTTCAATTCGTTTTTTTAAAGTCTTTTGTTTTATCAGAGCAAGATCGTTTACTTAGGTACTTAACCAGCTTTTTAGTATGTAATAATTAATTTATGTAAGTTATAATCTTCTGGTATATCAGCTATCAGCTCGACTTCACTAAATACATATTGCATTTAAAACACGTTATATTTCTTGGCCACCCATCCACCACCACCCACTTTGAGTAATTGTATCGAAACAACGCAACTTACTTTTGATTAGTTCCAGTGGTCCATCCATCATCAGTTCCACATCACCAGATGGGGCTATCTAAGAATAAATTGACGAGTTACAATAGATTTTTTAAGAGTTCTCTAGTTTCCGACCTAGGACTATGGGACTACACGTGAATAAAACCCTTTCTAATAAAAAAAATATTTTTTTAACTGGTCTAGCCGTCTTCGTATAGTTGGGGAACATAAAAATGCAAAATAAAGATAAATATGGGAACAAGAATAAGGAATAAAATACATATAGTGCAAATACAATCAATATTAGACAACATACCTATATATTGCTCTGATAACATATATAAACGAAACATTTATATAAAATATTTTGAAGCAACGTAAATGTTATTGGTCTTTAATCAATATCGTAGGCTCAAGAAGAGCTCTATGAAATAAATATTTGCGTGAGCCAAATCAAGAAAACAACCTTTAGCCTAATTAAAAAAAACAGTGGCTTCATTTTTCCAAAAAAGTGTTCGAGCTACGTAAAATACTTATTTCTCATCTAAGCAAAATTACGACTTATAAAAATTCAACTTTCCTCAAGTTTAAGCTATCAGTGACTGACACCTGAGATGGGTTGACGGTATTCAATTTAAAATTTCCTTATCATAATAAATTAAATCTATCAAACAAATGCTTTAATATAAAATGTTAATGCGAAAGTAACTCTGCCTATTTGTCCACCTGACTGTCTGTCTTTTTGCAAATTTTAAATGATTTGTGTATAAAGAGTACTTCAGAGAACGACGTAAGATACTTTGATCGCAAAAAAGTAACTAGAAGTCGGTATCGTTTGTAACTAATTTATTCTAGGACTTTTTATTTAAGGCACACATTCGGCAAAATTGGGTACTCTAGCCCTCCTTACGTTGCCGACCTAAACCCTATTCCTTCCTCCGCTGGGCATTTTCTTTAATATTAACAAAAACAAATTATTCATGTAATCATTATGTATGTATAGTTGCAGGAGAAGTTTCTTTCTGATAGTAAATTCAGTACGCGTAATATTTTCGTGTCAGGGTTGGTGTGGACATTGAAAAAATGCAATACTTATCATAGCTATGTATCTAACACTCGTTTACACCAATAAACAAGCCATAATATGTACTTGTTTTCCACAAAACTTGTAAAATACTTGTTGTGACTGTTTAAAACATTCTTTAGTTTAGCCTGGATAAAGAACTAGTATCTCTACAAGTATAAATAAATATTTACTTTAATAAGTTTGATACAAGTATTGTATACTACACATTTTATACTTCTATATAATTGTGAACAAAAAATGAAGAGATTGTATAAAATATGTTAAATATGTAAATAGGGGTAACCCCTCGTTTACATCAAGAAACAAGTCATATAATGGTTTAAGACAAAACGTGTAGAATACTTGCTGCGACTGATTAAATTCGTTTCGTTCATTAAAAAGTTTCGTTCATTCGTTCACACTGCATAGACAACTAGGATCAACATTTAAAAACATTATTTACTTTACATATTTTGTTTATCCAACAAGTCTGAAGCCAATTGCTTCAGACTTGACTTGCTTCAATACATGTTATATCAGTGTGAACAAAAAATTAAGACATTGTATAAAATTTGTTATATACATCTATTATACCTTGGTATAAACGAAGGGTAAGAGTATGTGTATGCATTTTAAGCTGTCCCATGCTGACTTTGATGCTTTGGTACTTTGGCAGACCGCAAGAAATTTAGCACATCTCTACTTATTATGTAATTTAATGAACACCTCTTAATAAGCCTTACAAGTGGTTGTATGTTTGGATATCTATATAATTTTAACGCTGTTGATTTTCTTCAATAAATAAAATATCGACATAAAGCTACATTTAGCTTAAGTATTAAAAGAACATTATAATGCTTCCAGATTTTACTTAGGCGTTTTTGTGGAAAATGTCGAAGAATATGGTGAGGGTTGTTACTGTTACCGAGTACTGCTTCCGGGGTCGTATTTCCACTGTATCGGATACTCTTTTGGACGAAATCATTTCTTTTCAAATACAATGCCACCGCATGATTGTTCGAAAATAAGTCTGTGGATTTTAAGAATTCTTTTTATACAAAGTTATCTCGCATCCAGGGGTCTCTTTAAAAGAAGAGTTTTTATTCGTTATCAAACGGATGAAATATAATTTAATATTAAACTTTATAAACGAAGACGTGACGTGAATATTTTAATAATTAAAATAAGTTAGCTATTATTCATGTTCCGTGCCTGAAAGGCTAAGCCATGGTCTAAAAAAAATTATTAGTAAGCTGTTGTCTTACATGCTTAGTTTAAATAGTGAAATTAAAGAAGACATGGATCTATACTAATGTATTTTTTGTGCAGGAGGAGAAAGATCAGTTGCTGACAACAAACTGCTGGATTACTCAGGTGTGGACCGATTACCACCTCAGATGGAACACCAGTGATTTTGATGGCATCGACGTCATAAGAATACCATATGAAAGAGTGTGGAAACCTGACATAATACTATACAATAAGTAAGTATTTTGTACATTTACATTGCTCTTTGATTATGTGTAGCAAAAAAATATTGCGGTTTGTGTATTGTGATAGTTTTTATGAGCTTATTAATTTCATATGATTTTTGAACAAAAGTTTCATGGGTAGAATTTACTGTGGTTTGAATTTATTTTGAAATTTACAGTTATATTTAAAAAGATATCATGGTTGTTTTCGTTTTGAATAACAATTTGAATGTGATTGATAGATCGGTGAAGAAAAAATACTATAATTATTAAAAAGAATGTTCTGTGCTAAGTATTATGAAATGTCCTGAATTAAGTGAATGTGCAGCAGGACTGACATTGTAATAAAATTGGCTTCATAAAATGGTTACGACAGGATAGAAAGCTTAGCTTACCCACTTTACCACTAGAACAATACTTGAAAGTGAACTACCTAGTCCAGCCATAAGTTCTATTACAAATGAAAATGATCTTTTATAATGAAGTAATGTAATATTATTAAAATTTATACCTACATATTTATCAAAGTCTCAGCAAAAACTAAAAATATGTTCTATTCGAAATGGCCGCCTTTGGCTTTTGTACAGGCCTTTAATCTGTTTGGCCACGAATCTATGAATTAACGCATTGTTTCCAAGGGAAATTACACCACTGCTTGCTCCAAAGATTTTTCAAGAGACTCAATGCTGCCGTGTCTTTTAGATCAAGCGATGTCCTCTAAAACTGACCATAATTTAAAGTGTAAAGGGTTGTAGGTTGGGCTAGATGAGGGCCAGTCTTCAGTTCATATAAAGGCCGGAACGTTGGTTTCAAGCCAGACTTGGGTAGTTCGTGCCTTGTGACCAGGTGCAGAATCCTGCTGGACAGTCCAGGGTATATTTTTAAAAAGTGTGTTGCTGAGAGGTTTGACAACATGATCCAAGACTGTATCTTGATACACTTTGGCTGAAGTTTTCACTCCTTTTTCATAAAAATGTGACTCCTTGATAAGACACGCCCCACCAAACCATCACTGATGCAGCACGATGACCATGTTGGTCCTTTCCAACCACTTAAGCAGCTTCTTTAGAACTGTCAGCGTACACTTTATCATTTTTCTTATTGTAGTGTTGTTTAACCGTGAAAAGTTTTTCATCGGTAAACATGATTTTGCTGTTGTTTTTACCTGCGTATCGCGTCAGAAGGCGTTTTGATCGATCCACTCTCTTTAATTGTAAATATTGATTTAGGGTATATCCTGTATATCGACGATAAGCACCGAGCTTCAGGTCTTGTTTTATTATACGCGTCAGAGATAAGCGCTTATTCCACCTGACTAAATTCATACGTCCTAGTTAGGATACTAAAAAGAAGGCTAATTAGAAGCTTCTGATAACACTTGAAAAATAAGAAAAAAGAAAAATAGAATAAAGTAAAAAACAAAAACGTAGGTGAAAGAATAATGTACAATAATATTTCTAAGAAGTACTAAATAGGAGACATTGACCGTTTATGTTCCGCAAGAAAATTGCCTAAAATAGAATATAAATCAGGGAGAACTAAAACGAAGGCTTGTCAGCTGAAAGGTGTCAACATTAATCTTTTACGATTGAGCGCCGCCATCAGGGTATTTTCCGGTAAAATCTATCAGCCATACCCATATAACAAAAAACAATACGTAAAGTAGGTGACATAAACTGAATGTAAAATGAAAACAATTATGTATAAACATATCCTGTAAGGGATCCGGTCCTCTAAAGGAAAAAACCAGCCATGTGCGAATCGGAATCGCGTACGAAGGGTTCCATACAACAAACCGTGAAAGAAAAAATCATTTGTTTATTTTCGTCACAACTTACAAAGTACATTAAAAATTGGCGTTTTCAGACTTGGTAGTTTAAAATACTTAGTTTATTGTACGGAATCCTAAAAGAGCGAGGCGCGAGAGGCGCACGTTATTTTTCCTAATCAAAAACGCAACACTGCTATCTGAATTTTTTACGATCTATTCAATATTATTTTCGGTGCGCGTTTTCAATACGGTCGAAACTGAGATAAAAGGTAAATCGATTATTATACGATATCACGCGAAATTTCGCCTTCAGGGCACAGTGCCTGATTTAGGCCCGTATTATAGAAAGATTCTCAGTGATTGATCTAATAAATAACACATAGCGACATCCCTTTCTAACTGTACTCAAGTAAAGATAAACAATTAGTTGTCATTCTGTAATACGGGCCTTAGAGTACTTAGTGAACTGGCCGCCTTAGACTAACTATGAATATGCGCCCCCCTGCCTGTCCCCGCTGTCAGTGTTATTCTTGTCCTAGCTTTTCATACACTTACAGGTTCAACTTATTAAATTACAAGTACAGAAGAGAGCTTATGTATCCTAAAATCATTGAATCAAACTGTCAGCAAGTAGGTAAACGAAAGACGAAAGGAACCAAATAATTCCATCACTTATTTTTACAATCTTTTATTAATACCAAGAATATAAAAGAAGAAATTAACAGAGAAAAAGATCCTTGCGCTAATTTTGCTCGTGACTTGTGAACTGAGAACATTATACAGGGTTGCAGAAAAAGTCGACGTAGATATTTAAGGACGTTACTATTTAGATCATTGCTGATAGATTTGACCCATGAACTACTGTTGAAAAGATAACCATTTTCTAAAAGAATTGGAATGTTTTTTTTTTAAATGGCTACCTTTGGCTTTTATACAGGCCTTTTATCTGTTTGGCCACGAATCTATAGATTTACGCACTGTTTCCAAGGGAAATTTCGCCACTGCTTGCTCCAAAGATTTTTTAAGAGAGTCAATGTCGCCGTGTCGCTTAGAGCAGGCCATGTCCTCTAAAACTGACCATAATATGAAGTCTAAAGGGTTGAGGTCTTGGCTAGATGACGGCCAGTCTTCAGCTCTTTTAAATTTCGGAACGTTGGTTTCAAGCCAGGCTTGGGTAGTTCGAGCCTTGTGACCAGGTGCAGAATCCCGCTGAAAATCCACGGTATATTCTTAAAAAGTGTATTGCTGAGAGGTTCCACAACATAATTCAAGACTGCTGTATCTTGATACATTTGGGCTGAAGTTTTCACTCTTTTTTCACAAAAATGTAGTGAACTGTGAGCGTACACTTTATTATTTTGCTTATTGTAGTGTTTTTTAATCGTGAAAATTGTTTTCATCGGTGAAGAGGATATTTCTGTGCTTTTTACGTGCGTATCGCGACAGAAGGCGTTTTGATCGATCCACTCTCTTTAATTGTAAAGATTGATTTAGGGCATGTCTGTATATCGACGAAGCACCGAGCTTCAGGTATTGTTTTAAAATACGCGACAGAGTCCTAGCGGGAATCCTCATTTCGACGAATTTTGGCTTTAACAGCTTTTGTAGTTCTAATAGCACGGGGCCGCCCCGATCTTTTCTGGTCTTCGATTTGTTGAATCTGTTGATACGATATACGAACATTCGGCTGATACCAAGCTTTTGAAGTGTCTGGAATATGATCGACGGCTCCATACCCACTTTGTGCAAGGCGATCACTGCAATCCTATTTTCTTTGACACCCCATACCATATTGTAATTTGATAACGAAGACGAAAAAATATGTGAAATGGCGCAAAATCGAAATATTTTTTTTAATGATATACGTGTTCCAAATTCAATATAATTAAAAAGTTGAAAAAATAAAAGATTTTATGTAACAGTATTTATGGCCGGACTAGTTATGTATACAATTACACATGTGTTTATGTTATGTGTAAAGGCGCATTTACATTTGGTTGTTAGTCGGTATTCGGGTGCATGAAAGACATTACTTGAATTCGAGAACCATATTTAGACTGTTTTTACTCGAACATGGACTGGAAGACGATGTCGGGTAACCAAAACAAAAACTGCCCGAATACAAGCGTCCTCGACTCCGTTCATTTACACTTAGTCGTTTGTTCGAATTTCATTGGCAATCGTTTTCGGGATAACGACCAAGTGTAATTGCGCCATAAGTTATTATTTTAATTTTCAGGTTAACTTCAATACAGAGTGAAAAAATCTACATTCTAACAGTTAAATGGCTACCATTATAATCAGATAGCAGTTTTTTCCAGTTTAATTATTTATTGTTAAGGAAATTGCTTACTTTATACATAAAAACCGCTACAAATCTGACACAAGAGATGAAATAAATAATTATATAAACATAAAATTAGAGCAAAAATGGTAGTTTTAAGAAAAAAAAACAAACCCATTTCTTTAAACGGTTAACTTCTCGACAGTAGGTCATAGGGTTAAATCTATCAGCAAAGATCTGAATAATATTGTCCTTAGATATCTATTACGACTTTTCCTGTAACCCTGTATAAAACCCCGTTATATTTCTTTCTCGATGGCGAGTCTTTCCACAATATATTATTTATCATTCTCTATAAATAACGAATGTTCGTGATGTTGTACCAATCTATAGTTTTTAAAATGTTTTTGTGATAGCAGGAATTTTAACGAACGTTTTTATTTTTAATATTTTACTAAAATTACCAAATATTATTAGCCAAGTGATCAAATCTCAGCTCAGTGCCGCGCCCGCCAGCCGGCCCTTTGCTCCGGCCCCTTGCTCCTTGCACCCTAAGCTCCAGCCTTTTTAGCCTGTGGGTAAATCAGGCCCTGTCTGGGCGTTAAATAAAAGTCGCTTGGGTTGAGACGGTTTCTGTTTGTTCAAATGCTTCTTTACTCTTTTTTTAAAGAACGTCAGATTTTAGGAAGGAGTCTAAGTTATGCCATGTTTCAGCGCTGATCCCAACTATCGTTCAGCGGTGATTAACACAAACGTGATCGTCAAGTACACTGGCGAGGTGACGTGGCTCAGTCACGGCATCTACGTGTCCGTGTGCGACATCAATGTGGAGCAGTTCCCCTTCGATATCCAGCTGTGCACCATGAAGTGGGCCTCTTGGACTTACGACGGATTCCAGGTCAGGATTAAATCAACTTACATACCTCTTAGTTTTGTTTGTTTAATCATTCTCAGCACGTCCCTACTGTTGGTGCACAGGTTTTCCCTATGGACGGAATAGGGAGAAAGGTTTATGAGCTTCGACAGGGCTTAGTGCCTGGCTGCCTCTATACTTATTTTTATTAGCACTTAATAATCCATAGATAACTAAGCACTTAGTAATTCATGGATACGATTAGGTAACATAATTACATACGACTGCAGATGCAGCCGGGACCAACGGTCTCAGCCTTGCAGAGCACGTAGGAGCTCGAGATAGCAAGATTCTGGTCATCCTATGATTGGCCATGCGGCTATTAAAATTTAAAGCGTAAAATAATTGTAGCCCATTTCTTTCGTGTTTTTATGCATATAGAAGCTCTGTACCCCAACAGTGGATCAATAATAATAGGCTGATGCAATTGAATCGATAACGATAAATAGGTATTAAGTCTTAAGTCCTATAAGAAGAGTTTTCTTATCGTAATTTATTTGCTGTTGCAGTACGAATATAGGAAAAATAAAGTTTTTCCCGGAACTTTAATCTGAGATATGTCTCAGCAGAGTCAATGACAAGTTATCAATCAAATAAGTTAACAAACAACAAATCAATTACGTCTTACTATTTGCAGTTTTTACCTAGGAACATTAACTTAAAAACCATTGTCCTTATAGTAAGAAAATCGGCTGCCTAGTTTACCTGACGATAATGTATTGAAAAATGATTTACAGTCAGAGCTCGTGTGCGTATTGGATACAGGTACGAAGTGAGATGAGATTTGCTGTTTGAAACGAAAAGCCTCAAGTCAATTGAGGAGCGTTCAAAGGGGGCTATTTCCGTATTTACTAACTTATAGTTTTTTTTCGTGAATTCTACTGATATTCTAAGCTCCTATCACAGTCTGTGTTTAGTCTTGATTGAAATTGATTATTTCCCCTTCAAATTTTAACTTAACGAATTTAAGTTAAAATTTTAATGGTTCTATTCAAAGAGTGCTATTTTTAGCTCATTTTAAAGTTTTTGTTCGACACATTATATATTTTTATCAAACAAGAACAATTTTTTTGAAGTTTTTTTTTAATTGGAAGCTACATTTATGCCAAATATATAAAATAAATTGGCATTGATTAGTTGTCATTACTTTTTAATATAAAAAAAATGCATTTTGGCAAACTCTATCAAATTTGCATGTTTTTTTATGTTAAAAAGTAATGACAAGTAGTCAATGTTAAGTTATTTTATATATTTTGGCATAAATGTAGCTTCCAATTAAAAAAAACAACTTCTAAAAGTTTATTTGTTGATGCTTTTTATTATCATTCCTGATCAAAAGATGCTATTTTCCGAATATCCGAGCAAAAAGTGCAATTTCCATTTTTAATTACTTAATTTTGTGCTTTTTAATAATAACAATAATAAATAAATTTACCGGAATTTTAATTTATTTTTTATCCGAGCAAAAAGTACAATTTCCATTTTTAATTACTTAATTTTGTGCTTTTTAATAATAACAATAGTAAATAAATTTACCTTAAAAATAAGTGGCCTCCTCATGTATTACTTGAATAAATAAAATACACTTCACATACATCATCAAATCAGCATACGTTTTTTTTTCATTTTATCAACATTTACTTAGCATGGAAATAGTCCCTTTCGAACGTCCCTCCTCCATTATAATATCCAAAGAGTATCGGCGTGTGACATCGTATCACTTATTATTCACCTTTTAGCATACAGCATATATGCCTCAATTACATTTCGTGAGTGATTGCTTACATAACGTAACGTATTCATGCGTATGTAAAATGTCTATTTTGTATAAAATATAAACGGCAATCTGCTGTAATTATTTGGATATACAGTCAGAACAGGTGCATGTCATTCGATCAATCAATGTGGATTTAAATAAAAATCCAACATGCAAGTACAAAAATTATGTTATGTAGGTTCCTCGTAAGCGTACCTATAGCAGGCACATCCCAGGTGGCTTTAAAACCCTTGATTTATGCCTAAATTGAGTTGTGGGCTTTCCTTCATCATATTGCGAGGTGAGACCATTAATTAGTCCACGTCTTGACAGAAGGGGATTCCCTAGATGCATGTTCGGTAACTGTAATTAGTACAAAGACAATACTGACAGATTATAAATTTTGGTTACGTTTCTTTGAGCGATATTCGTTAACGAGATTGAATTGAAGTAAATTGAAAGCTTTAAGTATAATTAAAAACAATCTTGAAGGTTTTCATGGCTAATTAGTAGCCAATAATTATTATTTTTTCTTACATAATGTAATTTGTGAATTCCGAAGTTCGGAAAAAATACAATTTAATGTAAAACTTTTTATCTTAAAATTCAATCTTGATTATGTTTCACTACTTTGATACCTAAAAAAAGGGAACAGACTCACCACCAATGGCAAAGAATCAGCGGAAGCAATTTTGGATCACTTTTTCCCAGCAGACAACCTCGACACTGAACCGCGTAAAGGAGATTGCTCAGCTTTCATACATGTTTGGCCTAAAGACTAATAATTATAAAAAAATGTTTGCTAAATTCGAAATTATATATAAATTACTGTAGAAACGAATATTATTGACGGACACCCCTGAGAACTTCTATAAACCATATACACTGAACGATTTTGAGGTTATGTTTGCAAATAGGTACTGTAACGTCCTTGACGTTATAACCTCCTTGTTTAGGTAAACTCTTTGCTTTTGCAATGCCTACGGTTGGCAGTTATATTAAAAAGTTAATGTCATGATTTTAAGATTTGAAATAAGGAATCGTCTGAAGGTTCCATTCTAGATTAGATCTTCAGGCACCAAGAACTTCCTCTCGTATTTAGATAAAATTTCTTTATATTCGCCTGAATGATAAAAATAAATAAATAATTTATCTCTACCAGTATCGTTTAATTAATAAGCACGTCCCCAGGTTCTATCCATTCTGGGTAGAACTCTATATGGTGGACGCGCCGCGTAGGTTTCAAGTACCGCGAGTGAAAAATAATTTTAAATCAAGAAAGAAGTAGTTTTATGAAAATGGAGACCAGGACCACATTCGACGGAAAAGGTGATGTAACCGATTTCTTTCGTCAATTTAATATCATCGCCGCTATCAATAATTTCAACGAGGATACAAAAAGAGTTGTGTTGTCGGCATATTTGAGTGGACCTGCATTGTTATTTTATAAAAATATTAACGAGTCTTGTGAGAATTTTCAGATTCTAGAAAAGAAAATTTGTGATGAATTTCCATCATCGATAAATGCGTTGGAAAAATTTTTCTCACAAAGACAAGGCTTGTCAGAAGAGCCATTGCACTATTTTTATGTATTGGATGAGCTGGCCACAAAAGCGGGAGCTGTCATCGATGACAAATGCTTCATTAGACAGTTCTTGAAAAATGCGAATTTAAATACAAAAAATCTTTTCGCATTTCAATTATATAGTGATAAAACACATTTAAAAAATATTTTACGACAAGCGCAGGACATTTTTGAGGACGAAAGCGTCGAAATTGGTTGGAATCTGCCGATCCAACCATCGTTTGCTCACTTCGAGGCGACGAAAATTTCGCCTATAATAAGGCATGAAGAAGAACAAGAGAAGGAAATTAACTTCATTTCCTCCCAAAGTGTCCTTTCTCATCCCATTGTCCCTCCCGAACACATGATTCCCCGCACTTTTTGTTCCAGCAACATGAACAAAAAAAAAATCAAAGAAGAAGCATCCAAAGAAATTTTTTTATGAAGAAAATGTTATGACGATGGCTGATGGTCAAGATTTTCATTCCCAACCGTCAGAAAACAACAATCAGCATACAAGTGAGTCCAAACCTTTAATTAATATAACGTGTCGTGATAAGGAGTTTGTAGGGCTCATTGATAGTGGTGCTGCAGTGTCTGTGGTGTCGAAGGACACAGTTAATAGAATTCATCAACGAATTGATGAAAGCGATATGAAGTTGAAAGCTGTCGATGGTAAAGAATTGTCTGTTATAGGGAAAGTTAACCTTAAATTATTGATAGACAATGTGTTATTCATTCACGATTTTCTTGTGGTAGAAAATATTAGGCATAACCTCATCTTAGGACAGGATTTCTTTCTTCGAAATAATGCGATAATAGATTTTTATAATGAACAATTAATAATCAAACATATTAAGTGCAAGTTTAAAAGACAATATACACAAAAGAATAATGAAAGGAATAGTGATAATTCGGTGTATGATGAAAATTTATATTATGCCGAATAGGTTGATAGTACAATAATAATAATGTGTTACTAATGAGATTTTATTTCAGTTTATTGTTTATATGAATGTTTTAAAGCAATGGTGGTATGTAAATAAGGTTCAATACAATAGTCATTTTAGAATTTTATTTCAAAAGCATATTAAATATAACTTTGTCATTATATTAGATTTTTTTTTCAATATACATATTATAAGGAACTTTTACACATGTTGTTTATGAAAGATTAATAGTTAGTTTCATTAAAATATTTTCATTTCTTTTAATTGTTAGCTTTAGTGTAATTTGTTGAGTAGGTGGATTATTGATATCGTAATAACCATAAGAATGATAGGTAACAGGTTCGATTCTCTGTTCAACTTGGAATTATTCAATTGACTTTGAATATGATCATAGATAGGATTAATTCAGTATTAGGATAGAATATATATAGTTAATAATGTATAATAGGATAATATAGGTCCATAAAGAAAATTCCCTTATTATAAAAAAGGAAACGGGTTCGATTCCCTGTAAGGTTAAAAAAATAAATAAATGAATAATAATGTTATACTTTGAAAATTTATCCAACTATGGAAAAGAGGCTATAAAGACTTATCATAAACTTAATGTTTTCATGAATATTAACTTACCCGACTGAAGAAAAATGGTGTAAAGGATTTTACTAATATTTTCTTGATTGTTTTATGTACTATCACATGATGCGGACTTCCCGAG